GTCATCTCTTTATATTGGCCAAGATAACTTTAAAAGTTCTTTGTTAATTTTCCTGAAATTTGCTTTCGCAAAAACATATCTAATACTTGAACTATACGACTTATTATTATGTATTACTCAAGAGCGGGATGGTATGCATCCTCTGGCAAAACTAGGAGATCGCACCGATTAATAGAGGCCTTCGGAACATCATCAACGTAAACGACATATATTTATTTGTTTGGGGCAAAGTTCAGCCATTTCCTTCAGAAATACATTGTAACTATCTCTAGATGAAACTGGTACAACATCGGTGTCAATGATGTTCCATGAAATGTGTGGCAGATTTAAATCACCCAAAACAATCATAGAATCGGATGCCGTAAGCATTGCATTTACGGTCTCAAGTAAATAAACTAGCTGCATATATACTGCTACGGCATAATTAGGAGGGATGTAGCAAAGAGCTAAATAAATATAACTCTTTCCAGCCTTTACACGTATATATTTAAATTCGGTATAGTCAATGACAGGAACACTAACTTCGTTGGATGGTATCGATGAATGCACCGCAAAAAGAACGCACTCCTGAATATTTGATATTCATTTGGAAGAATTTGGGAATTAAAAATATGAGGTTTGAGTCATGTTTCGGTCAAGGAAATAACATTATAATTGCAGCCAAAACCTTTTAAATATAAGTCAGTTAATTTGGTATTCAAACCTCTAACGTTTGATAGTAAATACTTAAATTAGACTTGCGAGTTAGTTTTTTGAATCCGAATTAAGATTAGAAATTTTAGCTACGTTGTTATTACTTTTATTAGGTTTATACTCAAACTCGCGAACAAACGCTCCGGTCGACCAAAATGAACTACTTAGTAGTGAATCAAAATCTTCGGCAGCTACATCAATTTTAAAAGACGAAATATCGCGATCGTATTTAAAATTGAATTTACGAATAAATACACCTTTAGTCGTAATTTAAGTCGATATGTATGACTTTATATCATCCGAAGAAATACCTTTAGCCAATCTAGAGACAAAGTTTGATCTTCTCGGAGGAATCACAACCAACTTTTTGGTAATGATATCTGATGTGCGGGGCTCCGAATTATTTGGAGGAACTAAGTTAGACAGTGCAGCTTCAGTTGTTGATGGGAACACTGTTAAATCAACGGTTTGATTGACGTTATTATTTTTAGATGTAGACCTAGGTGATATGGCTTTAGATAGCGGAGTTTCCAATGCCTGAGGGCATGGAGAAGAAAGATTAGTAAGTTCCAAGGACTGGGATGGAGGATTTTGCTGACTAGATTCAGTGACTATCTTTTTAAGTGGACTAATAACACACCTACCTTTATTTTCTCGGCTATCCTCAGAGTGTGGAGGGTTGTCGAGACATGTGAAAGACTTAAACATTTTTTCGTAATGCTTAAATTTCCCAATAAGAACCGACAGATTTTTCACGATCTCAGAAAAACCATTTCTGAACTGCCTAAAGAATTTAAATAAATCTACATCGGTTGATCTACATTTTTGACAAGACCCTTTCCCTCATTAATAGTGTCTAACACCCTACCGCTGAAACCAGCACATTTTATATGGGCAATCCCATCGCAGAGCGAGCATGACACATAGGAGTCTCTTTTAACGTGGCAATTGGAGTAAATACACGACATGTTTAAAATGATATTTATTTATAGGTTTTAGAAGCAATAAAGCAAAACAGTTTTGAAAACGATGTATCAATCAGAGAACCAATCAACTGGTAAATATCGGTTTGAAAGCTATGTAGCGAACAGTCTTAAATACACTGTATATTTGCCACCTAATAAACACAACGCAAACAGCTGTGACAAAGATGAACCAGCACAAATGACAAAAAGAGCAAAATTAATGTGCACAAACAAAAACAATTGTACAATAACAATATATTATATGAAACAAAACACTCGACACATGCAATTAAGAATATCAAGTTAAATTAATCAAATTTACAGGAAATTTTGATATTTTGCTTATCTTTAAATTGTGCACCAGACGTTTAATCACACTTTTTTTAATTTTTTACTTTATTAAGCGTAAACAGCTTTATAAAACACAAAATTTAAACAGAGCACAAAACAGCACAGCTTTGACGTTTGCGTAAAAGTTTAGTCAATTAGGTGTAGCTTTATCAAAATGTAGAATTGTTGAGTACTTTATACTTAAATTTAAACAAATAAAAAATTGTTTATGTACAAATGTCCAACCCGTGACGGCGGAATCGCCCTATATAAGAAAAAATATTTTTGTTTGTAAAATCAAAGTTAGACATTTGTTTGCATTGTCAATAGCTATGAAAAAATACCACTGGAAATATAATATCACATAATCGAAGTGGCCCGTTTCAGAAATTCTGACTCGTTTACATAAGACAATTTGAGACAAGACGATTGAGAATATGTCTTACTTGTCAAATTGTTGTGTAAAGTAGGCGTCCAGACAATTATAAAGACAACACATTTTTCAGCAACCGCGGTTAGTGTCGTTTGGCGTGAATTTCATATTATTTCCGAAAACATCCAAACACAAACCACTTTTTCATAATTCTGTGATTCTTTTCAATTTTGTCTTGCGTCTTTTACTCAAATTAACCAAGACGTGACCGAATTGTTCAATTTACTTCGAAAATCAAAGACAGAGACACTTTCCCCTGAAATTCGAACGATTTACAAACACATTCACAACTTTTTAGTCATCTCACCCACACACTTCCAAATCTTTTGTTCGAACGGTAAAAAAAAATCCCTTTGTTAGAGCTGCGTACCCGGTAATAATGCGTACTACAATAAGAATTCTATGTGTTAAAGCGAGCAAGCTAGAAACATCGGAGTTTTGATCACGATTCAATAATACAAGGTTGGATAACCAGGCAGTTGTCTCGCTCCCGCATTCTGCCTTAGCTTGTGTTGATCTCTTTTTTGATTTATGGAAACTACTACTAAAATACAAGGAGAAGTCTTGTCTTCGTATAAAAAGTTCAACAGGCAACACTGCCGATATTTTCATCGATTGTTTCATCGAAATTGATTTTCTTATTGCGCAAGTTCAAGTAAGCATGCAAAAAAATCAAAAAAATAATGGAACTATTTTGAATTAAAACAATTATTTACATATTTCTTTACAGAGTATGGGAGTTATTCAAAATTTTTATTCAATAACCTGCGTTTTACAGTAAGTGCAGCCGTTGCAAGTAAGTTTGACGTGCTGGGATCTCTGTGTGTCCGTCCACGTTTTGCTGGTGCAGTCCACTGGGAATTACAGCTGCAGCGATTTGTTTGGTGAAGTGTAAATATCAATAAAGTTTTTTCTTGTGCAGTCAGGATCACTTTGTGTGGCCGTTCACGTTCGCTGGTGCAGTTATTTTCTCCACTGCAACCTTTGGTTTGGTTGAGTGCAGCCTTTGCATACTTACAAGTTAGTATACCACCCCATAAAAGTGAAAGTGCAAATATTAATAAAAAATTGTTCATGTGCTGGTCAGGATCATTTGTATGTCCGACGTTCGCTGGTGAGCGTATTTTCACCACTGCAGCTTTGGTTTGGTCAAGTGGAGAATTTGCATACTTACAAGTTAGTATACCACCCCATAAAAGTGCAAATTTTAATAAAGATTTTTTCTTGTGCAGGTCAAGATCATTTGTGCGCCCGTCCACCAAATGTAATTCAATTTAAGATATTGAACATGTAATTTTTAAATGCAACAATTATAATATATATATATATATATAATATAATATAATAATTAATTATAATAATTATTAAAAGATTAATTTATATAAATTATATCAATTGCATCTTTACTATTTGTATATGGGTATTTCCATACGTCGCATACGTGACAGTCGTACGTTTCAATGTGATACAAAAAAAGAATACCATTTGTTTTCTTTAACTTTTTTGGGCCATTGTATAGCACATAATTAGCTCTATATTTAACCAAAAAATTAAAACAATCGAACTGCTTGGTCCTGAAATATAAGCATTTAAAGAGAGTCTCGTTACGTGACAAAAAATGGAAGTTGATTTTTTCATTTCTTACAAAATCGCGTCTGAAACGTCACGTGGCGTGGCGTCACGTGACACAAATTTCCATCGTTATATTTTTGTTAATATTACTTTTAAATGAATTTTTAACGCAAATAAAACATGTAATGTGGAACGATTTTCCCTGAAGATGGCACAACGCCGAAACCGGTTTGTCTCCAAACCAAATTTGACAAGGGATGACGGAAAATCGTTCCACATTACATCACACTCCTACCCTGTCGGAAACACTAACAACGAAAATGAGAATAAAACATGTATTTTATGTCGAATATAGTTTATATTTTGACTTTAGCGCAAATTCAGGGTAAATTTTTTGGAAATCTATGATTTATTATGTTTCAACTACATACGCCAAATTCGAACCAAATCGGACCATAAATAGGGTTTTTCGAAATACCTCGACCTTGGCGCCACCTAGGAAGACCATTTTACGCAGACATGATTCTACTTAAATAGTCAGTATATATTTTAAAAAGCAGACAAATCGGCCCGTAAATACGTTAGATATAAGACTTTTATTTTTTTTTGTCGTGGTGGACCTTCCGATGGAAACACCCATATTTCTTTATAATGCACACCGTCTTCAAAAACCAAAACTCAAAATAATACGTCTGTCAGAAAATGCGAAAAACTATTTCTTAGCACAAGATAATCATATGTACCAGGGCGAATTTACCTTAGGTTTTTTTACAAACTATAACAGAAATTTGCTCCAGCCGAAATTTTGAGTAGTGACTCTTTTGAAGACGGTGTGTGCTGTAGTCCCTTTGAATTAAGGATTTGGCTGAATTCCATTAATTTTGTTTAATATATACTGGAATTTTAATGAAACCATGGTTTATTTTAAATAATTGGGAAAATTTGCCGAAAAGATTTTTCTTTGGTCTGAATTTTATGTGAATAAACATGTTTAATATACCATAAAAAGTTAATTCATTATCAATTGTGTAGATCAGAAGAATCAGCTTTTTATATTTAATTCAATTTTTATACAAAAAACGCATTTCAGCACTACCAGACTACTTTTCCTACTACCTTTTCACAAAAGCGGATAAAATGGTTACCCGCCTTCTCTTTCCTTCTCAAATACAACCTTACAAGGTATTCGATTGACACAAATGTCAATATTTATCCAACCTTGTATTTTTGAATCATGTTTCAGCACTACCAGACTACTTTTCCAAATACCTTTTCACAAAAGGGGATAAAATGGTTACACGCCTTCTCTTTTCTTCTCAAATGCAACCTTACAAGGCAGTCGATTGCACAAATGTCAAAATTTATCCAACCTCTTATTATTGAATCAAGGTTTTGATGACAGTATACATACTGTGAAGAAATGTCACTGCGAAAATTTGGAAGGTAAGAATACGTATTTAACAATTTTATTTGATTATAATGTAATCTTTTCTTTCAGATTGCAAAACATCAGCTGACTAAGTCGCTCTAAAGGTATATATTGAGATTTTTCATATGTTTATAAATTTGTATTGACATTTTTTGTTTGTTTACAGATTTGGCATTCACCATCAGCACCTTGGACGCCAAAGGCACCTTTGAAGCCATCAGCACCAAAGTCATCACCTTAAAGGGCACCAATAATGGAATATTGCAGCTATATTGTTCGGTGAGTTTTATTGATTAAATACTAAAAAAACGGTTTCTCCAGTAAGCAATAAAAGTATAAACTGCAATGGAATGCCAGCCTTTGGCTACTCTCATATATGTAATACTTCTATATTGCTAGTACATTCAAAGTATATTCCCCAACATCAGAGTGCCGAAATATTGAAAAAAGAAAGAGAGATCCGATAAGAGAATGTACTCAAAATGACAATTTTACTTTTCAAAATTCAGGAGCATTTTCACAAATTCTTATTTGAAAACAACTCATATGAAAAATTATCAAAAAAAAATTTTGTAAATCTATGAGAAGCTCTGTGGCCGCTGGGGGTGGCAGAGGATAAAAATACCTGTTAGAGAAGGACTTGGCATGGACTTGGCATTAGGTGGTATTTCCAATTGGCGTCAATTAGCATAGAAGGGAGTCGAATAGCGTGCTTTATTGGATTCGGCCAACATAAATATAAAATACCATAATAATAAGTTTTGTCTTGGTTAGCAAAAGATCTTCTATCTTCCAATTTTTCAGATTTCTAAATAACAAAGAGCATTGGAGAAAGTCGACATATCGAGCCCTAACCGCGTAGATAATGTATATATTTTTTTTAATGTACTTTTTGATGCAGGTGCTCTAAGAGCATTTATGCGTCAAAAATTAAATTTGGAAAAAAGTTCGATTTTCGCGGCTGGGTCTCGATATACATGCGGTTGAAGGAAACATGAGACCGTCAAATTTATGTTTGTTTGTGGATTCCCTGAACCGCCGCTGTTATGACATGGCACTTCATTCTATGTAGTAGTTTACAAATACACACGTATACTTCTACAATCACAAAAATTTTCATAGGTTGTCTTTCTTTGATTTCGAATTTAGAACTCATTGCGATCATATTGTACTAGCAATATAGAAGTACTACATATATGGCTACTCTACAAGTGCACTACTTTTCCTACTACCTTTTCACAAAAGGGGATAAAATGGTTACCCCCCTTCTCTTTCCTTCTCAAATGCAACCTTACAAGGCAGTCGATTGCACAAATGTCAAAATTTATCCAACCTTGTATTATTGAATCATGACCATGACCATGTAATTTGTGACAGCTAAAATTTGACACTCCTTTATCTAGATTTGTATTTTGGAAGTAGGAGAACGGGTAAGAATGTGATCGCCTTTTGCGAAAACGGTAGTAGAAAAGTACTACAAAAAGTACGCAAAGTATACAATTAGAAGTAAAATGTGTATTATTTATTCTATGCGAATTTGCAATATATTTGGTGTTTTAATGGAAATACTAAACAATACATAAATATGTGCATTTTTTATTTAAGTTATTCATCATTTCCTGGAACCGACCATTCAGCTATGGAAAAACGAAAACTGCAGATCAATAGAACCTTTTATGCTCATTTCAACCATGCCAAAATTATTTGGCGCAAGTAAAAGATGAAGACGTTCTAGAAGGTTAAAGTTCAGTTTTTAGATTTTTTAAATATTAATATCTTATGAACTGTATAACCGATAAAAAAAACTAATGACGCCATCATAAAGATAATTAATTTGTCTTTCAGCTGATGTACATAATTTATAGCTTTTTGTATTTTTAAACCAAAACCACTAAAAAACAAACAAATGTTATTTTTTCATGAAATAATCTTTTTAAAAAAAAAAACTGCCTAATTAATGGTAAAGGAATTTATATTATTAGGAAAGTACAAGTTATTATCTTTAATTCGATATTACATATTTTATCATGATCTACTTTTGGGTTTCAACAATTTAGTGGTAATAAAAAATACAAATAAACAAAGCAAATAAACCTCTTAAACCTGCGCCAAATGGTGTCGTTGAAATCAGCATAAAAAGTTCTATCAATCGGCATTTTTGGTTATTTTATAGCTAAACGGTCACTATTCTACACTTGTTCTAGAAAATTACGCAAACGAAGGTGATGCCAACGAATATTTAGTATGAAGAATTTTTGGTTTTACTACTAATATCACTAGAAACTATAGAGTAAGCAACATTCTGCACAAGTAAAGGAGCCGATTTTATGTGTGGGAGCGAGAAGACTGTTTTATTACAAAACCTTTCTATTATTGAATCATGATCATGGTTTTGATGACAGTATACATACTGTGAAGAAATGTCACTGCGAAAATTTTTAAAGTAAGAATACGAATTTAACAATTTTATTTGATTATAATGTAATATTTTCTTTCAGATTGCAAAACATCAGCGACTTAGCCACATTCTGAAGGTATATATTGAGATTTTTCATGTTTATTAATTTTAATTGACATTTTCGTTTGTTTAAAGCACCTTCAGCACCTTCAACGCCATCAGCACCTTGGACGCCAAAAGCGCCTTTGAAGCCACCAGCACCTTCAAAGTCATCACCACCTTAACCGGCGCCAATAATGGAATATTGCAGCTATATTGTTCGGTGAGTTTTATTGATTAAATACTAAAAAAACCGGTTTCTCCTGTAAGCAATAAAAGTGCAATGGAATGCCAGCCTTGGGAGTTATGATCAAAAATACTGAGGCGCCTGATCTAGTTTAGCCTAGTCAAAACTAGTTTGTCCTAAGATCGGGTTTGGCCGGTAACATATATAAACAACAAAATAAAGCTTAGGGTAAATATTAAAGAGTGCAGTAAAATGCAACTACCTAAATGTGTACATATATAAGTAAAAAGAAGTGCAGTGGAAATATATATGTATGTATATATATGTAAGTTAAGGACTGAAGGTCCTGAATAACTTAAATAATTAAAGGGCCAACTTGCCCTGGAATTGAAAAAGATAATTTGAACGTCATAATAGAAGCACTTTGTTGACATAAATAAATAGGCCTAATTTACAGTAGTAACACCCCGATGCAACTGCCGCTGCTTCGAGTTCTGCCGCCCTTTATAGCCTGTTCCGCAGCCGCTGTTCTACAGCCAGACATACGCGACGTCAGTGAGCCGCCTTGGCCTTGAATTCCCACAGGTAACCGTGTGAAATGAGATTATGCTGACACCGCTACAATGCCTAATGCATTGGCTCCGTTATACTAATGGTTGCGTAAGCATTAGCCAGAGGTATAACTGTGGCCGACGGTTCCCATAAGTGTGTGATAGCGTTGCGCAATATTGCTATTGCATGATATGGTGAAATGCACTTGGCCTTGACAAAGGTGTAGGATGTCAATTATGTTGTGAACCATAATTATGCTGACATGGCGCACGTGTATTGCTAGACTGTGGGAATGCCACATGTTGGGTGACGGCGGATGTGTTAACTCCTCCCCCTTTAAAGATCTGCGTCCCGCAGATCAGATAGACGTTCCTCGGTTTTTGAATTAGCCTTGTTGTCAATGTTCAATGGAGGTAGGTGTAACCTCGCCGTCTCATTGTCCATCTGGAGGATATAAGAACCATTAAGTGTATTTGAATTGTTACCTAATTTTACAATCCCTATAAAATTGTCAAGGAAAATGGTATCATCCTTGATGATGTCAACAGTGGAATCGTTACAGGTCGCGTAAGTACAACTTATTTGTCCTCCCTTGAGAAGACGAGTCAGGTAACTAGATTCTGGTAGCAGATCGAGTGATTTCCCTTCGCAGATCATGGTAGATCATGATGTTTATTGGTCAGGATTGTTTGATATGCCAATTCCACTCGGGCTCAGGTGATTAAATGTAGTTTATGTGACCTTTGGTGGGGACAACGTATAAGAGGAGTGTGTTGTTGTCGATCGATGGTTTGCTATATTCAATGGCTTCGATGGCGTTGCTGTATGGAGGAGCGCCGATCTCACTGACAAGCTGGTTGACTTCCTCTATACTCAGAATATTGGTGNTATAAGAAAAGTATATAAAAACACCCTAATAAGAAAAATTTTCAAGAGTATACCAAATTGAGCTTTGAAAAAAGCTCAAAGTTTTCTAAAAATTATTGACTAAAAATAGTATATGTTTTACCTATTAAAAATACTTTTATCAAAATGCTTCATTTATTTTCGGTTGCAATCGCTTCACAATCTGGAATGAATTCACTTATTTTCATTAGGCGCGGAGTNTAATCCATTTTCAAGTTGACCCAATCCAGCTAATAGATCTTTTTAATCTAGCCGTCTCGTGCCCTCTTAGTTCGTTTAAACGTGTGCGGATCCTGCCTAGCTGGAATAGTAGTACCTCTGTAGATCCTGTTGTTTGGTTTAAGGTACCAATTCGTATTGTTCCAAATTTACCACATGAATTAGCTTGAAGTGTCCATCGATGATCCATCCATACCCATCCCGTATGGTTACTAGGGGTGAGTCTATCTGGAATAGGTCATACGAATGCGCAATGGCACAGAGGCACGTGCTACGGATTAGATTAATACATTAGTCTACTGATGGTTTATTACCCATACCCACGTTATAATAGTGACTCTATACAATTCAAAGTCTTAATTCTAAAATTCGTCTTAGCCATATCCTTTTTACATTATTATATTTTTTTATTCTACTCAAAGTCTTAATTCTAAATTTCGTCTTAACAACTTCCCTGTCCAATGAGTCATATGTGACTCATTTTTGTGTACAATTTCGGACATTTTTGTGTTCGGATTTCAGATTTCGAGCTCGTACGCGATATTTTTTTAAATGATACGTGGACGTACGTTAAAAAACTTAACGCAAAAATATATGAAAGAAAATTTCGAGATTTTTTGTCCTGAATGTTCTCTTTTAGTAAAAAGAAAAAGCGTACAATAAATATAACTCAAATACNTTCACTTAAAACATCATAACTTCAAATGGCGCAAACTTGCGCTAACTTTTTTTTCGTGTAGTAGGTGGATTTTTCATGCTTTTAATGAATTCAAATTCAAAACATAGNGTACAAAATCAAAAATTTTCAACAATTTTTATTGAGCTCGAGGCCATTTTATAATGAAAATTTATAATGGAAACGCAACAATAATTTGAAAAAATGGTAGAAGTGATAGCTATTTCGGAAATCACCACATTTCCTCATCAGACTTCTTTCAGTAGGCTTCGAAACGACGCACTATGGGCAATATGAGGCATTTGCTGATCAAAAATCTGTAACTTTTTTCTGTTTAAAGTTACGATCATGAAATTTTGCGTGTAGATAGTGTAAACCATGTCAATTTAATGCATTTTTAATTTTTGTATCTCCTTTGGTTCCCGAGATATAGACCCATATGTGGACTTGGAAAACATAAAAAGTACACTTTCTGATTAAATGGAAAGAAGATATTTGAATATTGGTATTAAACGATTGTTTTTATAAAATATTATTTCAGATATATTTATATTTTTTAGATAGATTACCCTTTATTTAAAAAAAATATATATTTAAAAAAAAATTTTACTGAACTATTGCATTATAGTAGGTGCTATAAGAAAAGTATATAAAAACACCCTAATAAGAAAAATTTTCAAGAGTATACCAAATTGAGCTTTGAAAAAAGCTCAAAGTTTTCTAAAAATTATTGACTAAAAATAGTATATGTTTTACCTATTAAAAATACTTTTATCAAAATGCTTCATTTATTTTCGGTTGCAATCGCTTCACAATCTGGAATGAATTCACTTATTTTCATTAGGCGCGGAGTAGCACCACATATAGTACACGGAAGCTGTGCCTGTTAATACCTGGGTAACTTTTCCATCGACCATTGTAAGGAAAAGTTCATACTTGACCTGTAGTTCTTCACCATCTGTACAAATCAAAAACGGATGTAATTCATCAATTTGGGACTGTATGTTATCCACACCAGACTTTTTTTTCATTGGGGTTTCCTTTGAAAACTCTATTGAAATTGGTCTACAAAATCTTACTGATGAAGGCGCGGGATTTTGCCAGATAATATAACCAGATGCTTCATCAATTAATTTCAAAGGAACACAAGAAGCAGTGAACAGATTTGAGTCTGAAATCAACTCAGACTCCTCTGGAAGTTGTTGTTTGTACTCGCTTTGTCCAGATGAGCCGTCACATCCCCACTTGCTATATTAATTTTGTACAGTTGGAGAACCTAGCAGGTAATCGTACATACTTATATTTTGCGGTCAAGTATATCCTTAAAAGTAGGCAGCTAACTTTTTTATCGAGAGTAAATTCGTATTTCTTGGTAATTCCGTATGCATGGTGTAAGGTAATTTTTTCTAAAAATTATTATAATCTCACAAATTAAACATCAGGTAAAAGGTGCGGTTGTTTAGTTTTCGAATATATAAATTGTTTTTTGTTAGGTTTAAAGATTTATTACTTATAGGGTTAAAAGCCCAGTGATACTAGTAGCGGCTGAAATCCCGCATTCTCACGTAGTTTCACTTAAAACATCATAACTTCAAATGGCGCAAACTTGCGCTAACTTTTTTTTCGTGTAGTAGGTGGATTTTTCATGCTTTTAATGAATTCAAATTCAAAACATAGCCAAACGGCGAAAACCTTCGAATCCTTCATCGGAATTAAAAAAAAAAAACGAAACAAAATGTGTGTTTTATTACAGAAGCTATTGCTGCAACCTGTTATTTCAAAATAAAATATTTATAGCCAATTTCAAATCTGAATATAACATGTAACTCAAGTCCGTATTTCTTAATAGGTCCTTGCTAGGAAAANCTGTTTAAAGTTACGATCATGAAATTTTGCGTGTAGATAGTGTAAACCATGTCAATTTAATGCATTTTTAATTTTTGTATCTCCTTTGGTTCCCGAGATATAGACCCATATGTGGACTTGNAAATATTTCACATTATAGTAATCTAAACAAAATGCTTTTTTACACTTTTTGCACTCGGTAAGTGCTTGCTTGGCTTTTCTAGCCAATAATCTTCTTTCTTTCAATTTGGCGTAGCATCCCGCGCACCTTTTTCGTACAAGTTCATTGCAAATATTTCGTGGAAATTCTTCACCAATTTTATCAAATATAACCTCAAATAAACTAGTAAAGGGCAAGACAACTTTTACCCATATCTAATGCCTGTAAGGATCGTAAGGATCTATTTACTTTAGGTCTCCGGTTCGTTACGTTCCGCCCAGTATTTCAGAATTCGGTACAAAAACGCCCTATCTNCCAGACTTTTTTTTCATTGGGGTTTCCTTTGAAAACTCTATTGAAATTGGTCTACAAAATCTTACTGATGAAGGCGCGGGATTTTGCCAGATAATATAACCAGATGCTTCATCAATTAATTTCAAAGGAACACAAGAAGCAGTGAACAGATTTGAGTCTGAAATCAACTCAGACTCCTCTGGAAGTTGTTGTTTGTACTCGCTTTGTCCAGATGAGCCGTCACATCCCCACTTGCTATATTAATTTTGTACAGTTGGAGAACCTAGCAGGTAATCGTACATACTTATATTTTGCGGTCAAGTATATCCTTAAAAGTAGGCAGCTAACTTTTTTATCGAGAGTAAATTCGTATTTCTTGGTAATTCCGTATGCATGGTGTAAGGTAATTTTTTCTAAAAATTATTATAATCTCACAAATTAAACATCAGGTAAAAGGTGCGGTTGTTTAGTTTTCGAATATATAAATTGTTTTTTGTTAGGTTTAAAGATTTATTACTTATAGGGTTAAAAGCCCAGTGATACTAGTAGCGGCTGAAATCCCGCATTCTCACGTAGTTTCACTTAAAACATCATAACTTCAAATGGCGCAAACTTGCGCTAACTTTTTTTTCGTGTAGTAGGTGGATTTTTCATGCTTTTAATGAATTCAAATTCAAAACATAGCCAAACGGCGAAAACCTTCGAATCCTTCATCGGAATTAAAAAAAAAAAACGAAACAAAATGTGTGTTTTATTACAGAAGCTATTGCTGCAACCTGTTATTTCAAAATAAAATATTTATAGCCAATTTCAAATCTGAATATAACATGTAACTCAAGTCCGTATTTCTTAATAGGTCCTTGCTAGGAAAAAATTCCCAAACTGCGGATCTGAAAATTACTGCGTTGCGAGTAAAAGTTTCAACAATTTGAATATGTCAAATTCTTACGCAATTTTCACTTTATTTTCTTAAATAAACACACAAAAAATCATTACATCATTAAAGAACGCTTTATTCCCTAAAGAATGATACCAAACACTTATGTTATTTACAACTTTTCAAAAATGCATTTATGATCAGCCTTTGTACTAGCTCGATCCATAGTGCGACGATCCCACTGACTCAGCCTGGCTGCCAGTCTGATGAGGAAATGTGGTGATTTCCGAAATAGCTACTTCTACCATTTTTTCAAATCATTGTTGCTTTTCCACAATAAATTTTCATTATATAACGGCCTCGAGCTCAATAAAAATTGTTGAATATAATTGTTATAAGGCCAAAAAATAACAAAAACAAATCACAAATATTTCACATTATAGTAATCTAAACAAAATGCTTTTTTACACTTTTTGCACTCGGTAAGTGCTTGCTTGGCTTTTCTAGCCAATAATCTTCTTTCTTTCAATTTGGCGTAGCATCCCGCGCACCTTTTTCGTACAAGTTCATTGCAAATATTTCGTGGAAATTCTTCACCAATTTTATCAAATATAACCTCAAATAAACTAGTAAAGGGCAAGACAACTTTTACCCATATCTAATGCCTGTAAGGATCGTAAGGATCTATTTACTTTAGGTCTCCGGTTCGTTACGTTCCGCCCAGTATTTCAGAATTCGGTACAAAAACGCCCTATCTCAGCTGCCGATTCAAAAACGCTCTATCTCAACGTATTTTCAATATATTTTCAGTGANAAATATATATTTAAAAAAAAATTTTACTGAACTATTGCATTATAGTAGGTGCTA